ATTTGACCCTCTTCAGTGAATACCATTCCTTCTTGAGATTCTCCCTTTGCTGGAGCCCATCCCACGACCTCTGTTTGCATCTGCTGCTTGTTTTCTCTGTGGAACACTCTTCCATGAGGTGTCCACATGCTCACTCCCTCTCCTACTTCAGCTCTTTGCTTAAATGCCACCTGCTCAGTGAGGCTTTACCTAACCACCCAATTTAAAATTGTACCTCTGTCCGGCAATACTCCTCATATCTCTTCCTTGTCTTATTTTTCTCAGGGAACTCACTGATCCCTGGACAGCTGCTTATTTTTTGGTTGCCTGTTGATCTGCCCTTTACCTCACCCCTACAGACACACTAAAGTTTAAACTTCATGAGCAGGGCTGCCACATATGTGTTGGTACTGGTGAAAAAAAATTGTCCAATTCCTCAGCAAAATGACATTTGTATTTGTTTTTGTTTTTGTTTGTTTGTTTGTTTGTTTGAGTTGGAGTTTTAGTCTGTTGCCCAGGCTGGAGTGCAATGGCAGGATATTGGCTCACTGCAACTTCCGCCTCCTGGGTTCAAGCAGTTCTCCTGCCTCAGCCTCCTGAGTAGCTGGGTTTATAGGCACATGCCACCACGCCTGGCTGATTTTTGTATTTTTAGTAGAGACAGGGTTTCACCATGTTGGTCAGGCTGGTCTCGAACTCCTGACCTCATGATCCACTCGCCTTGGCCTCCCAGAGGGCTGGGATTACAGGCGTAAGCCACAGCACCTGGCCGTGACATTTATTTTGACATGCTACATAATGAACCCTGGTCTCCCTTTCATGTTTTCCAGCCTGGTATATTGTACTGTCTTCCCTTATCTCTTCAGCCTGTTTAGAAAGGCAGTAGCATCCCTAGAGTTTAAAACAGTGCCTAGCACAAATTAGGCACTTAATATATTTTTATTAATGAATATGTATCTTTAAAACTCCCAAGAGCGGTTTTTTTGGTATGTGATTTAATCTGAAAGTTTGAAGATTTAAGTGACTTTTACTTTATATTACTGTGGTTTTCCAGAGAATAATACAAAGTGTATTATTTGGAGAAGTGCCATTTACTCTTTCTTATGCTGTAAAAGTTGGTTGATTCATGATTGGTTATTTAAAGGTTCCATTGTATTCTTTTTTTTTTTGGAGTCTCACTCTATTGCCCAGGCCAGGCTGGAGTGCAATGGCACAATCTCAGCTCACTGCAACCCCCCACTTTGGAGGTTCAAGCAATTCTCCCGCCTCAATCTCCCGAGTAGCTCCGATTATAGGCATGCACCACCACACCTGGCTAATTTTTATATTTTTAGTAGAGACAGGGTTTCACCAGGTTGGCTAGGCTGGTTATAATCTAGCCTCAGGTGATCTGCCCGCCTCAGCCTCCCAAAGTGCTAGGATTACAGGCATGAGCTGTCGCACCCAGCCAAGTTCTATTGTATTCTTTTCTTCATTAAGAGGTTATTTATAAGCCATACTCATAAGTCACACTGATATGTCTCCTACATTTGGTATGATAGCCTAAATTATAAAATTATCATATTGCTCCCAGGTGTTAGGGGAAATATATGATATATTTCTTAAGAATAAAACTGAGGAAACATTGTTATTACAAATTCATGTCATTGATTTGAACTCCTGTTTCAAAAACTGAGTTAATTTGCTTGAACTGAGCTAAATGTTTACTTTTGTACAATCCCTGAATAAAAGCAGATCGGTGATATAGTATAAATATGATTACATAAAGATGATCAACATATTTAAGAGAACAAGCGACTTGCAGGTAATCATTTGAAATAATCCTTAATTTATCCAGCCAATATTTATTAAGCAGCTACAGTATATGCACTAAGCATAGATCTAGAAATATAAGGATATATAAGGGATAGCCACTAATTTTAAGGAATTTTCGATTAAATAGGAATATAAATAAGTAACAAGTAGATATAATAATATGTTATAGTCACCAGGATAACAGTCTTATGAGGTTTGGGGATGGGGGTGGGGTGGGGATAGAGGTAGGAGTGTGATGGTGATTTTACCTATGGCATTGGGAATGAGGTATAAAATTCTTCAAAGAGAAAGTAACACTTGAACCAAATCTCTGAAGTTAAGAATGTGGTTGTGTGGGCCAAGTGGGTGGTAGGTAGCATGAAGATATTTTTTTAAGGTATAAAGAGCAACATGATCCAGAGGTTTGAAATAATCCATTGTTTGGCAGGGGTGGAGCATAGACTACCTGTTGTGGCAGTAAAGTGTGAGATAAGGCTGGAGTGGTGGGCAGGGGTCAGGGCATGGATGGCTAAGTACCATGTACCAGGGGAATTTGAACTTTATCTTGCAGGTAGTGGAGAACCAGTGAAGGCCTTGAGAATAATATCAGTTCACTTTAATGGTTTGTCAGCACTGGATTAATGATGGAGCTAGAGGTAGACTGTTACATACTCCATATAAGCAAAATCAAGATCCTGAACTAAGAATGTAGCAATCAAAATGAAGAAGAAGAAGACAGATTAGAGAAGTGCTAGAATATGTAGGGCTTCCTAATCAACTGTAGAGGGAGGTATGGTGAGAGGCAGGAGTAAGGAGAGAAGTCACGATCTCAAATATATTCAAGAGCCAGGCAAGTGACATAAATGAATGAAAGGAGTTTCAGCATCCCTTGTGGTCACTATGAGGACTACATGAGTCAGGAGCTCATCTGCAACTCATCTCTAGGTACTTGTTCCATGCAGGTAGGGTGTAGTGTTGCCTCATCATCTTCCGATTTTTAAAGAGAAGCCTGAATGTATCTTATGTTCAGTCTCCCAAATCTTAAATGTTGGCCCAAAGTTTTTTAAGGTACTTCCTAGACCAAATAAAAACAACTTTAGTAAATAAGCAGGCAAGTTGCAGCCTCTGTTCTGGGATGATTCCTGTTTTCTACCTTAAATGATTAGAATCATGGTGCCTGCTAGGAGAGGTAGATCTCTTCATATACTTACATGGATATGTTAATTAGCTTGATTGTGGAAATCATTTCACAATGTAGACATATCAAAACGTCACATTGTACACTTTGAATACATACAATTTTTGTTTGTCAATTATATCTCAATAAAGCTGTGGGAAAACAAAATCATCAGGTTAAAAAATGAAGTATTGTGCTATTCAATAAGATAAGAATTAAAGGAGGAGTAGCATGTCGAGAGGTGGGTTGGAGAAGGCTAATGATTAGATTTTGTTGTCCTGGTGCTTGAGGAGGCGAGGCTACGTGTTCGAAGCTAGCCTGGGCAACTTAAGAACCTCTCATTTGGCCGGGCGCGGTGGCTCAAGCCTGTAATCCCAGCACTTTGGGAGGCCGAGGCGGGTGGATCACAAGGTCAAGAGATCGAGACCATCCTGGTCAACATGGTGAAACCCCATCTCTACTAAAAATACAAAAAATTGGCTGGGCGTGGTGGCACGTGCCTGTAATCCCAGCTACTCAGGAGGCTGAGGCAGGAGAATTGCCTGAACCCAGGAGACGGAGGTTGCGGTGAGCTGAGATTGCGCCATTGCACTCCAGCCTGGGTAACAAGAGCGAGACTCCGTCTCAAAAAAAAAAAAAAAAGAATCTCTCATTCATTAAAAAAAAAAATAATAGATTTTGAACATTCAGAGTTTGAGGTAGCTTAATTAACAGGAAGTTACAGATGCAGAACTGGAATATGAGTAAAATATGGACTGGAAAATAAATATCTGAGAGTTATCAGTAATAGATGGTAGAAGGAACTGCTGGGAGTGAGTTTTGCCCATGGAAAACAATATAGAATGGCATCAAAAGAGAACAAGGAACAGAATCTTAGAGAACACTATCGTTTAAGAGGCAGGTAGAGGAAGAGAAGCTAGCAAAAGACAATGAAGTTGCCAGAGAAGTAGGGAAAGAATTAGAGAGAGGCATGTCTTACAAGTCCAGGGAGATAAATTTATTTTAAGTGTCAGATACGTTAAAGAAGTCAAGCATACAATAAAAAAGGAGGAAGCAGCCGGGCGCGGTGGCTCACACGTGTAACTCCAGTACTTTGGGAGGCCAAGGGGGGCAGATCACGAGGTCAGGAGATCAAGACCATCCTGGCCAACATGAAATCCCGTCTCTACTAAAAATACAAAAAAATTAGCTGGGTGTGGTGGTGCGCGCCTGTAATCCCAGCTACTCGGGAGGCTGAGGCAAGAGAATCACTCAAACACGAGAAGTGGAGATTGCAGTGAGCCGAGATTGTGCCACTGCACTCCAACCTGGTGACAGAGCAAGATTCCATCTCAAAAAAAAAAAAAAAAAAAAAAGGAGGAATCGTGGAGGGGTGTGTGTGTGAGAGAGAGAGATTATGCAATTGTGAGATTATGGTTGATATGTAAGGCTTAAATGTTGACTTGTTGCTGAAGGTGATAGGGACAAGAGGCAGAGTTGCATTATGTTAGAGAATACAATAGCAACTGAGATCCCCTTGGTTCTGCTTTTTTGTTTGTTTGTTTTTAGCAAACTTTAGCCCTTGCTCTGCTGTCTCTAGTGGAATGTTACTGAGAAGTGTTTCCAATGTTTCTGAAGAAAACAATCCCAGGCAGTTAGTAGGGAGAATTAGCCAGCTTCCTGTATGGTGAACTCCTGATAGAATCACAGATATTCGAAGTAGCAAGAAGGTCTTAAATTTGCATAAGGCATTGGAGCTCAATCTTGGTTACATATTAGAATCATCCAGGGGGCTTTAAAAAAAATATTGATGACTGGCCAGGTGCATTGGCTCACGCCTGTAATCCCAGCACTTTGGGAGGCTGAGCTGGGCAGATCAAGAGGTCAGGAGATTTAGACCATCCTGGCTAACATGGTGAAACCCCATCTCTACTAAAAATACAAAAAATTAGCCAGGTGTGGTGGTGGATGCCTGTAGTCCCAGCTACTTGGGAGGCTGAGGCAGGAGAATTGCTTGAACCTAGGAGGCAGAAGTTACAGTGAGCCGAGATCATGCCCCTGCACTTCTGTCTCAAAAAAAATGGGAGACTCTGTCTCAAAAAAAAAATTACTATTGCCCAGGCCCTGCTCCAAATCAGTTAAATCAGAAGCTCCATGGACCTGCTCCAAATCAATTAAATCAGAAGATATTCCCAGTTGATTCTACTGTATTTACAAGATTGAGAATTATTGACGTAGTAGAACTGGAGTCACCCTGAACCACTTGGGAAAACCACTTGGGAACCACCCTGAACCACTTGCAAAAATACACTTATTCTTTGATCTGCAATAATAATGATAATTGCTACTATTTCATAAACTTAAATATGCAATAAATAATACGTTTTTTTACTTTCTCTAATTGTTTAAATTCTGTTTTGTGCCTATAATCCCACCAAACTGACAAAAAAACTTAAGAGCAATCCTTTAAGCCTTCTCTCCTTCCCCAGTTATTCTAGGTTCTGCTCTCTTTCACATGGCCAAGTTGTCAGGTATTGTTATAGCGTCTTGTTCAGCTAATTAAGAAGTATAACTGAGACAGTTGCCACCCCATTTGTCATGTGTGGTGCCTTTCAAGATAGCCCCCAATGATTCTCACCTCCTGATATTCACGCCTTTGTGTTGTCTCCTCCCACGTCATGCCAAGGTTGGTTTTTATGACAAAATTCAGGGAAGTGATGATGTGTTGCGTATGACACTAGATTCGAAAAGACATGGTGATGTCTGACTTGTTCTCTTGGATGTCTCTCTCTCGGTGAAGCCAGCTACCTTGCATGAGGGTACTCAAGCATTCCTATGGAGAGATCCACATGGTAAGAAACTGAAGCCTCCTACCAAGAGCCAGCACCAACTTGCCAGCTATGTGAATGAGCCATCTTAGAAATAGGTTCTGTAGCCCCAGCCAAGCCTTCATATGACTGCAACTGGGGCTGATATCTTGACTTACAACCTCATGAGAGACTGAACCAGAACAACCTAGCTAAGCAGCTCCTGAATTTCCTACCCATAGAAACTATGTGAGATAATGTTTCTTGTTTTAACTAAGTGTTTAAGTGGTAATTTGTTATACAGAATATGTAATGAATACAGCATGGCTTTATTAGGTCTAAATGTCATCTCTTGCTTACATGGTACCCCAAAAGAATCCTGCTGTTTCATGAGGCATTTGAGCATGGAAATTCTTGTGAGGTTGCCTCTGTCCCTGTTTGTTCCAACATACCATGTAGTTATTCCTTCACTGGGCTTGCACCTTCCCAGTCTCTGCTCAGGAAGTAAAGCCTAAGTTTCCTCTTTTCCTAGAAATACAGACCTATTTGTAGACCTCCTGTTCTTCATCTTCTCTCTAGGGATATTTTGGTTTTGTCTTGGAGAAGTTCTCCTTATTTTTGGCCACGATTCTTTGTACTTGAACCTTCTCAACCTCTCCAGGACTTTTGGAAATAAAAGGCAGAAAACTTACAAGCTTATCTTCTTTCTACCATGTTGTAATGCCTCCCCTGAGAGTGGACACATGGCTGGCTCTTTGAATTTTGTAAGATGTAGAAAGAAAGGGGAAAATGAAGGGAGGAAAAATGTGAATATCTCAAAGTACTATTCTACCTGAATTATCAATATGTGTTGAGTTCTTACTGTGTGCCAGGTGCTATACCAAATGCATTACATATTTTCTCTCATTTAATCCTTATAATAACCTATGAAGTAAGTACTATTATCATGCTTATTTTACAAAAAAGATGATCAGATTTAGAGAGATTAAGTAACTTGCCTGATGTTCCACTGTTTTTAGATGGTAACGCTGAAATTCTATCAGGAATCTCTGACTCCCAGCTCCAACTTTTGACTATTAGCATGCAAGTTCTTTGCATGTGGTTGGGGAGGGAAGAAGGTTGGTCTAAGGGTGCTTTCCGTTGACTTCGTTTGTTCACATAAATTAGTATACCAATCATACCTAAGACTTGTCTGTCCTTAAAACACTTCTGACAGTGGCTTCCACTTGGCAACACTTTGTAGGCAGGTGGACCTATTCTTTACACTTGAAATGTTGAAAACTGCAGTTCTTCTAAAATACAGTTCAGTTCAGTCATTTCATTTAATTAAGAAGGCCATCTGTCTATCCAGCATGTTTTCCAAGTGCCTCTCCATAGGCACTATGTAAAATGCTGGGGATACCAAGATGAATTCAGCACTCACCATGAGCTGTGTGTGTGGTGTTTAGATGAAACAAACATAAAAACGAATTACAGCAATGAGATGAGTTGTGTATCTTAACAGCACATGAATGTGTTCTGGAATGCAGAATTTTCTTCATACTAATCTCAGGTAAGTCAGGGAAAACTTCTCAAAGGTAATAAGCCTTCAAGGGTGAGTAGAAATTCACCAGTAGGACATTCTGGACAGAAGTGGTGACATGGGCAAAAATGCTTGGCAATTTTGGAGAGCAGTACACAGTTGAGAATAATTGGAGAGGACGACGTATGTTTACAGGATCCAGATAATGAAGACACTTGTTCTACCATGCCAACAAGTTAAAATAATTAAAACTCTCACCCCACAGGAGGAATCTTGGCCACAAATATTCTTTGGTGTTGATTTTTTTTTTTCTTGAGTTTGAATGTCTTTAAGAAGAAATATATTCTCTAGTCTTCTGTCTCCTCAGGCTCACCACTCCATATTTAGGTTACCTAGCTGTCCCTGCAGACATTTGAGCTTACTCCCTCTCCTGCAGCACTGGGGAGACATGAAAGACTATCTTAAGGGAGAGGGAACATGAATGTACTTGCTCTTTCAGAGACTATTCTGGCTTACCACGGATGTTAAATGGTGAGGCCACTTGTGAAGGAATGGTGCAAGATGAAGAAATGTCTTAGCTTGGGCTGCTATAAAAAAATACCATAGACTAGGTGGCTTAAATACAGATATTTATTTCTTATTATTCCGAAGGCTAGAAAGTCTAAGATAAAGGTACAAGGGAATTCAGTTCTTGGTGAGGGCTTCCTGCTTGTAGTTGGCCACCTTCTTACTGTATCCTTAAAGAGAGAGAGGGTGCTCTGGTTTCCCTTCCTCTTATAAGGGTACTGATCCCAATATGGGGCCTCTACCCTCGTGACTTCATCTAAACTTGATTACTTGCTAAAGGCCCCACCTCCTCATACCATCACATCAGGGGTTGGAGCGTCAGCATATGAATTTTGAGGGGGATATAAATGTTGAATCAGTAACAGTGGCTTACTGGGTCAGAAGGCTGAGTGAGAGGGAGGAATCATGGTTCTCAGTTTCCCACTGAATGAATGGTGGTTCCATTAACCCAAAATGGATAACACAAGATATTTTATTCTATAAGTTTATATGAAGTTGTAAAATTTCTTGGGAAGGATTGTGGAGCAATTGCTAAAGTCTACTTAATGTCTATTGGAAGTACCTAGATGAAGTTCACCAGGAGACTTCAAAAGTGTCTTAAATGTTCCTATAAATACTGTGACATAGTTATGTCATCAATCAGGATACATGGTAGGACCTGTTGGAAATTGATGATAACAGTAAGATGTAATACTTAAAATGGGAACTGTTCTGAAAAATCTGGAGTGTATGGTCACTGGATATAAAAATTACTTTGTTATCTCATCTAGGTTATCTTTAATCAAAGGTCTGTCTGAATAAAAATACTATCGTTAGGATGTACCATGTCTCAGGTACAGCTAATCAATCTATAGGTTATTTCATTATTTTCATCTTAAATAATAATTTCAAACTCCCTACCATACTTTTCTACAGAGCTGTTAATAGGAAGTCTCCTTCAACGGACTTGAGTTTCCTCTCATTTTCCCAGCCGACATTCACTGAAGATATTAATGGGAAATACAATATTTAAAAGACAGGAAACAGGAGAAATATAGGTAGTCTTCAAATTGTATACTTAGGCACTGAATAATCGTAGCTTCAGGAAAATCAGCTCTGCAATCTGTAAAGTATCTAGCACCCTCGAAGTGTAGAGTACGTATAAGAAGAAAAACCACAGCGTGGCAATGTCTTCCTATTATTCCATACATACTAATGTATTATATTTTTTACAATGCTTGATAAATTGATTTTATGCTTGAAATAATTGTCACAAAGTTTCACAAAACTTTGGAAACACAATTAACCCAAAAATATTGAGTGGGATACTATGTAGAATACAAAGATGTATAAGACATGAATTCCTTCAGGCATTTAATACTTAATAGAGGAAATAAGGCACATTCATGAAAAAGATAAGCTACTATGTGATGTCAAACAACAGTTATTTTTTCATATCTATGAATTTATTAGAGACAAGAAAAAATTTCACAAAAACTTGGCATTTTCAATATAATGAAAGAAGCTTGACCTCTAAAATAGAAGCACAGAAACGAACAAAAATAAGTAAGGAAATATTTCAAGGCTTACAATGCAAGAGTAAATTTTTTTTCTTCAGACTTTTCTTTCAGGTGTAGGGGGGTACACATGGAGGTTTGTTACGTGGGTAAATTGTGTGTCACTGGGGTTTGGGGTACAAATAATCTCCTCACCCACGTGGTGAACATAGTATCTGATAGGTAGTTTTTCACTTCTCGCCCTCCTCCCATCCTTCACTCTTAGGTAAACCCCAGTGTCTTATTTTCTCCCTCTTTGTGTCCATGTGTACTCATTGTTTAGCTCCCACTTATAAGTGAGAACATTTGAGGTTTGGTTTTCTCTTCCTGCATTAATTTGCTTAGGATAATGGCCTCCACTTGCATCCATGCTGCAAAGAACATGATTTCATTCTTTCTTATGGCTGTGTAGTGTTCCATGGTGTATGTATACCACATTTTTTAAAATCCAGTCCACTGTTGATGGACATCTAGGTTGATTCCATATCTTTGCTATTGTGAAAATTGCTGCAGAGTATATGTGAATGCATGTGTCTTTGAGTTTTTTTGTTTTTTTGTTTTTTTTGAGATAGGGAATGTGTCTTTATGGTAGAATAATTTATATTCCTTTGGATATATACCCAGTAATGAGATTGCTGGTTTGAATGGTAGTTCTGTTGTAAGTTCTTTGAGAAATCTCCAAACTACTTTCCATAGTGGCAGAACTCATTTACGTTCCCACCAGCAGTGTATAAGCATTTTCTTTTCTTGACAATCTCACCAACATGTTATTTTTTTGACTTTTTAAAAATAGGCATTTTGGGCCAGGCATGGTGGCTTATGCCTGTAATCCCAGCACTTTTGGGGGACGGAGCAGGCAGATCACGAGGTGTGCAGATCAAGACCATCCTGGCTAACACAGTGAAACTCCGTCTCTACTAAAAATACAAAAAATTAGCCAGGCGTGGTGGCACGTGCCTGTAGTCCCAGCTATCTGGAAGGCTGAGGCAGGAGAATTGCTTGAATTTGGGAGGCAGAGGTTGCACTGAGCTGAGATCACACCACTGCATTCCAGCCTGTTGATAGAGTAACACTCTGTCTCACAACAACAACAACAACAAAAATAGCCATTTTGACTGGTGTGAGATGGTATCTCACGGTGGTTTGGATTTTGATTTGCATTTCTCAGCCGGGCACGGTGGATCCCACCTATAATTCCAGCACATTGCGAGGCTGAGGCAGGTAGGTCATGAGGTCAGGAGTTCAAGACCAGCCTGGCCAACATAGTGAAACTCTGTCTCCACTAAAATACAAAATAATTAGCCAGGCATGGTGGTGCTTGCCTGTAGTCCCAGGTGCTCAGAAGGCTGAGGCGGGGGAATTGCTTGAACCTAGGCCGTGTAGGATGCCATGAGCCAAGATCGTGCCACTGCACTATAGCC